TGGGCGTTGAAGTCCACTCATCTTAAAGTGGCCAAGTTTGGACAACACTGAGTTAGCGTGTAGGGCCCAAAGAAGGTTGTAGATGTTGAGGAGCACGTGTTGTGAACGGGTGCTCGGTGACCATGATGACCCCAGACGGAAACCACCGCCCCGACTTTATTGAAGGTGCTGCGCTTCGGCGTCCGAAGCGTCCGATGCTTTTGTCGAAAGTATGACGCGGTCTTGTGCGAGCGCCAGCCCTTTTGCACACCCGGGCAACGTTGCAACGCGTGCGTGAAAAGGCCCAGGGTTTCTGGCATGACGGCGCGCTGTTTTCATTGCAGCGGGCGATTCGGGGTGCAGAGAAAATCTGGTTTGCCCGTGGTCAAACTGTGCTTTTCATCTCCTTTGCAGAAATCAGGCAATGCGGAAGAAGCTGATTTTATACTTCAAGAGGAGAAATCATGCTCGTAAGCAGTGGGTAAGAAATGTTGCTTCCTTTCGAAACCCCAGACGGGGCTATCCCCGTCTTCCTTGGGGGTGTTCAGTGGCTGGGACGCCTCTTTTTAAAGTTAGTGTCTGGTGGGGTTGTGCAAAACCCTTTGAATTCAGACTACCACGAGCACCACCACGGTTTTGAGCACAAAACACCTGGATTTGCGCAGGCGAGAGCTGTTTCAGGCCCAGCCCAAGCTGCGTAGAGCATTTTGGAAGTGTCTTTTTGCTCCAAACAGAGGGGTTTTGAGGGCCAAAGTGTTTGAAACCACTTTTGGAAAGGGGAGTGAGGGACATTTTAAATTCAAAACCGTCCTGCTTTGAGACATATTTGCACTTCCCTATTTGGGGATGCATGGTCCGAGGCCCCCCGCAAACAGAATGGTGTTCTGTGGGTAGGGCTGACCGGTATTCCTCGGTTTACGGGGTTTGGCCACCAAAATTCAGCAGCCCAATTCAGAGCAGTCCATCTCCAGCGTCCCTGGAGGCTTCGCACACCTGCTGTGGCCTCGGGAGGCCCTTGGTGCAGCGGGTTGAATTGTGCGATGCTTAGAAAACGGAATGGCTCAAGACGTTACCCAACCTTAGGGGACTTACAAAGGAGCTCTGTTGCAAGAATTTCTGGATTCGTTCCCACCCCGTTGCTAAGAAGCCTTGAAGGGGTGGCTTTGAAACCATTCCCGAAAGGGATCAAAGGCAGAGGCGGGTGAATCAATAACGCAAAGACGGTGCCGCAATTTCCGTGCCAAGTAGATGCCCATCGGTTCAAACCACAAAGCTAAACAGAAACTAAAAGCCATCCAGATCCATAATGGCATGGCTTGGAGATCATTTTATCCTGAATGGTCATTTTGTTTCCCCTCTGGCCTGGCGTCAGATGCAGCTGGAACGGAGGAAGGTTTTATTCTTGGCTGCATCAGAATTGCCCTTGGAAGGTTTATGGGTTTTACCTGGGAGGAGAGAGGCCGTGTCTTTGGCCGGGTGCACAAGGAATCTCTTCTCTTCTGCAAGAAAATGGGGACTTCTCTTTCCCAGCATGACTTTGCAAGGAAATTGCCACCAAGGGGTATGAGAGGCATATTTTTCAGAATAGATCTCCCCCCACCTGCCCCTCCAGGCATTATTTTACTCGTAGAAGTTTCTTACTTGCCCTGTGTAGTATTTTAGGAGTAGTTAGCAATGTTGGTTTCTACCTACACCTGGTCCTGGATTCTTCACCTCTGAGGACATCGTTTCTTTTGTCTTTCTGAAGACCAGAAATAACTCTGGTTGCTGCTGGTGCCAATTATGAAGAGACTTTGCCTTGAAAGGTGGCGTAATTTGTAACAGGAACAATAATGAAACATTAATTATTAACACCGATTATCGCTCAGGTCAGGTGGAGTTCCTTCTGAATCGAGGCTGTGCCGGCCCTCAGCCGCTGTTTCAATCTGGGGTATTTCTGTGGGTTTTGCCTTGATTTTAACTTTTAAAAATTTGCCACTTTGGAAACGAATGCTTTTTTGTACCGTTACGTCGATGGCTAAAAATGACGGCGGATGAATAAATCAATCCGCTGCGTGTGTACAGAAAGGTGGAAGCAGAAATTGAGAAACGCCGCGACTGAATTTATGAATTCACTAAATTCCCAGGCTGTTCTATAGTCGTGTTTGCAGTTTTGAGGCTGGGAAAAATTAGCAGTATCAACATGCCGGCATCTTATGTTGAACTTAACAGTGTTTTGTTTTATTTTTATTGTATCTGTACTGTTTCCAGTTGCCTATTCCTGGTGTACCTAATAAATAACAGAAGAAATACAGCACACTGACATTAGAGCACTGTAGGGCGGTTGCTAAGAATGGAGACCACATCAATCTAGGGTTTTTCTCCTTAATTTAAAAAATCTCCTTCTAATATAAAAGTTGCAAGGGGATTTTTTTTTCCAGGAATGAATGGTGTCAGTAGTCCTTTATATTCAAAAAGGAGGGGTGGAGGGGAAGAAGATTCTTGGAGCTGGAACAGAAATTAGGAAGGGTACAATGGTCATTCAGACAAATGGATTTTGGGTTGAAAACCAGGCCAAAACGCTACAGTACTGTTGTGTTTGAGAAGTGCCCGACAAAGCAAACACAGCAGAATTAAAGATTGGATGCTACGGAATTAGAGTTGTTGTAGGCCCAAAACAAGTGGTGTGACACCAGCGCGCTTTCTTTATGAAAGGCCAAGATGGTTCCCACAGAGATGTTCTTTACGTTCTCAGAACCTTCTTTTTGGTCCTCTGAAGTCCTTTTTCTTCAGGGGTGCCTTTTAGTCGGTCACGCTGCTTTCAACGCACATCTTCTTCTTGGCTTCCATCTCTACGTAGACACATCTCCGTTTTTGGAGGTGCACTTATAGAAAGATTTCTCTTCCTGTCCCTTCAGGTTGCAGATCTTTATTTATTTATTTTGAGGACACAAAACGAGGAATCATACGCGGACGGCAGGGCTCTGTGTCTTGATCTTTCTGCTTTTCTGTTCTGTGTGTTCGTGTGTGCTGTGTTGTGTGAATTTCAGTGGCCTTGCTTTTCAGACTTGAAAAATGATGCCCTCGCCATATTGCACACCAAGTCTTCCTGGGAAATCTTGCTTGCTGCGAAAGGATGTGAGAAGTGTCCTAGAATATATCTTGGTTCGTGCAGAATTCTGACTCTTGTGGAGCTAAGTCCACCCTAAAACCACGCTTTGTTGATGAAACCATAGTGGGCTAGGTTCATGCCAGGCCACACACCGTCGTTGACAAAATACAGTAGCTACACTCACACAATACCCTTCACCCAGATCAAAGTGTGATGCTGCATGTTGAATGAACTCAGGAGTTGTTATCTGGATGAGTTTCAGGAGGTGTAAATTGGTCCTGAAAATCCCTATTAATTTTCCCTGACTAGATACGGCTTGAAATTGGATTTGGGGAGAAGAGGGGAACCTGCTTCATGACTTCTCTCTGCTTCTCTTTCCCTCACAATCACTTGCCCTGGCTCTTCAGGAGCAGAAGTTTTGCCAGCGGTATGACCAGCTGATGGAAGCTTGGGAGAAAAAGGTGGAACGTATTGAAAATAACCCCCGGCGCCGAGCCAAGGAGAGCAGAGTGCGTGAATATTATGAGAAACAGTTCCCTGAGATCAGAAAGCAGAGAGAACTTCAGGAGCGAATGCAAAGGTCAGCTGGAGGCATGTGGGTTGTTTGAAGGGAATCTGCTGCTCCATTTGTGGTCTTTGAGGGTATGACAAGTTGTGGCCAAAAAGAAGATTTATGCTCCAGAGATCATTTCCTCCTTCCCTCTAGGAAACTTTTTGGTCCTTCCCTGAGACCAAGGTCTAGCCATCCATGTCAACCCAGTTACGTCCTCTCTTCTGCCAGCGTGAGCTTTGAAGAGAGAAGATAGGACCATCTCAGACCATCTTGGTTACTTTAGCATCCTACTGTGAAATAAATTACAGCATTTTCTCCAAGAGGTTGCTGTCAAATTGCAGTTTTTAATGTGAGAGAAGGATTAAAAAAAAAAAAAAATACACAGGGGAATAGCCCTATGAACTGCAGGTTATTGATTTGTTTTCGTTGCAATTAAGCTTCAGTTGGGTTGGAGTTAAATCAGGCCGGAGGCTCATCCTCATCCATTTCTTTATCTGGAGGCCCCTCCCCAATAATGTTTTTTGGAGCGTGTAGCTTCTCAAGAGAGCCAGTGTGGCCTCAGAACATGCATGTTGTGTCAAAAATGGTCAAAACACTTTGTCATGCTCAGCTAAGCCCTTCTTTGCATAACTGATTGGCTGAATCGTTGGGAAGGTCTGCGTTCTGCTCATTAGGTCCTGCTCCCATAACCCCCCCCCCGGTCTACTTTTCCACACCCTTTGTCTTTCCCAGCATTGATCTCTCTTCCTCTTCCTTGGCCCTTACGGACGCCAACGTTGTCAGAGGAGACCATGGGGAGCGAGGAACCAAACGTCTCTTTTTCAGCATTTTTCTCTGCCGTTTCTCAGCAGGGGAGGACAAAGAGGCAGCGGACTCTCCATGTCGGCAGCACGCAGCGAACACGAGGTGTCAGAGATTATTGATGGGCTCTCGGAACAAGAGGTGAGGCTGGGTCACCAGTTCCTCCATGCTTCACGTCCTGTCCTTCTCAGCTCTCATTTCTTCTCTGGGGAAGCGATGCAGCCGCAACCGATCTGGACACTGGAACTGGTTGTTAATGTTGCTGCCCAACGGTCCAGCAAATCCTGGTCTAGATGGATTGGACCAAGAGCTTCTCCTGCCTTGCACTTTGGGCTCCCTGGTCTCCTGCTTTTGGGCCCTTATGAGCAAACACCACCCACAAACATTTGCACTGCCATCTTGATGGGGCTCAACCCTGTTCTGTAACTCTTTGGGAGGCCTCCCTGTTCATTTCCCAGATAGCCTTTTGTAAGGTGAAAGCAAAAGCCCAGCTTGATTCTCCCAAGATAGAAAAATCAGATGGAGCTAAGTTCTCCAAAGTCTGCTGTTTCGGTACTGATTGTCGGTATAATAAAGCTTTGCTGGATCAAGCCAAAGGCCAGTCGAATCCAACACACCTTTTTCATTCATGGCCAACCAGATGTTTCCAAGAAGCCTTCAAGCAGGAAGTAAGGTCTGTGGTCCTCTCCTTTTCCATAGTCCTCAGTACTCTGAGGTGGATTTCCTCAATATCTGGAGCTTCCATCACTAGCTAATATAAAATAAGAAGCTGGGTCATGTCCAAGGAACATCTAATCCAGCATCAGACTTCCCAAAATGGCCCTGTGGGTGCCTCTGGGAAGTTCACAAGCTGGGCCTGCAGGCTGCAGGTGTTCTCTGATTGTTTGTCCCCTCCAGAACATCATTTTCAAGGATAGGCTACCTCTGACTGTGGAGGTTTCCACATAGATGTCATGCGAGTTATTTATTTGCTTTACAGTATTTTTCTATCATCCCAAATTCCTCAGTGAAACTGACACTAACAGAAATTCACCATTAACCATTAGTTAGCCCTTGATTATACTCCATCCACCATCAATCCCAAAAGACCCCATAGGTTTATGAAATGAAGCGCAATTTTTTAATCTGGTACCATTTGAGCTGTGTTTTGGGGTTCCAAGGAAACACAAGACAGTAATTATCTGAAAAGTGGGGTGAGGCTTACAACAGATGGATGAGTAATGAATGAAAGTTCATCTTCTTGCAGTCCCAAAAATCTCTCTCTCTGGTTTGTCCTCTGTCTAAGTCTTGGGCTATTTTTTCCCCGTGCTTTGCTCCCTCCCAAGACCCCTCTGTCATCTTTACTCTTCCCCAACAGAATCTGGAGAAACAGATGCGCCAGCTTGCTGTCATTCCGCCAATGCTGTATGACGCTGAGCAGCAACGCATCAAGTTCATCAACATGAATGGCCTTATGGATGACCCCATGAAGGTGTACAAGGACCGGCAGGTGATGAACATGTGGAGCGAGCAGGAGAAAGAGATCTTCCGGGAGAAGTGAGTGGAGAGCAGTTGTCATTGAGAATTGTTGAGTGCAGGCTAAGATGGGGAGTTCTTCACTCCAAGAAGTGTGGAACCTCTGTAGACAACCTGATGTCCCTTGTGGTTTGGACTTCTAACTCTCATCGTCCCCAACTTGCATGGCCTGTGGTGAGGGATTTTGGGGAAGCATAGCTCAGAGTATCTGTAGTCTACAGAGTATCTGTAGTACCTGTAGGACACCCTCTGCTGTGTATGTTTCAGCCCAACTCTTGCTTCTGATGGTTATTTAGATAAAAGTACTGGTTGGTTACTCCAACCAAATGAACCAAATGTCTTTGTGATTGTTTTCTTAATCACTGTTTTCGTCCCTCTGCTTCCAGGTTCATGCAACATCCAAAGAATTTTGGTCTTATTGCGTCCTTTCTGGACAGGAAAGTAAGTGGATTTTTTTTTAATCCTTTCCCATTAATGTCTTTTATCAAAGAAAGCTCATCCCAGACAATTCCTTCTTTCCATAATGTGAAGAAGCTGCTGGATCTTCTTTGTCAGTACCCCAGATTCTGCTTACTAAAACAGTAACTCAGCCTGCAAACTCAAGGCCAGAAAGAACAGAAGACTGGGATAAAGTTGTGAAGTGGTTTCCACACAAGAAACTTGTGTTCTGAGAACAGGCCTTCCAGCTTCCAAAAATGGCGTGTCTCCTAGATAATGTCATTCAGGAAGTCGTGGAAGACCTGGTGGTTCTTCCAGGGCTTGGTGACAGGATGATTCTGGGGCCCCTTCTTGGATTGATTGTGTTTCCCTTTGCTTTATTTTATTTTATTTTATTTTGCTTTGCTTTGCGTGGTTTTGAGTTTGATTTTAGTACTCTGCTCCTCTGATCCATTGTATTTTTCTTTTCTTACAATAAGTTGGTTTTGAGTTATAAGCTGCCCAGAATCATTTGATTGTCAGGCGGCCCCTAAATTAAATTACATTAACAAAAATGGTTGGGTAATTTTGTCAGTTACAGGCAAAAGAGCGCCATTGTTTGACAACACTATGAAACCGTAATTCTGGGACAGTAGGACGGCCCAATGGCCTAGTTCAAACACCACACCAAACCGTGGTTTGCTTAAACATAGTTTATTGAATTGTACAAAAATCCAAGTTGCAATTTGTGGTTTACAAAGCCCAGGTTCACCCCTCTGCCTGGAACCCCGGAAAGAGCATTTCTCTTACGGTAGTGGATTGTAATAAATTGAAACTGAAAATGTCTTACAATAGGAACAAGACATTATTAGGGCCCAGAAGTTACACTTAAATTTAAGGTGGAGGGGGGAAATGGACCGAAGACCCCAGCAAGGGATGATTGCAAAGAGGGAATTTTCTTATCAAGTACACGTGCTTGGTTGGAATTTTTCTTTTTTATTCAGCTTTACGGGGGCATTTTTCCCTGTTCAAAAGAGACTGGGTTCAGCCTCTTTAAGAACTCGTCCTCAAATTTGGCTATATGTCTTCCCCACGTCCCCTATGAAACCAGAAACCTTGCCGGTGGCAGCTGTTGTCCAAGGAAGCTCTGGAGAATTGGCCCATCCCTGGGTTAAGAGCTGGACGTACTGGTTGGTGATCCTCTTGTGGGTTGTGATGCTTCGAAAGGCGCCCTCCTCCTCCCCAATTGCAGCCCAAGTTCCATACTGTGTTATCCAAAGTGTGCTTCTCTTCCACGCCCTTGTTATCAAGTATCACCAACACGTGTGGTGGTTCGTTTTTTCTAGACGGTGGCGGATTGCGTTCTCTACTACTATTTGACCAAGAAGAATGAGAACTATAAGAACTTGGTGAGAAGAAATTATCGCAGGCGAGGAAAGAACCAGGTAAGGAAACCCAATTGGAAGCAGGAAGCGCCTGGGGATGGTTTGGGAGTGGGCGCCAACGTTTTGCAGGGCTGTAGGCCTCGGTTCTTTGCCTTCTCCAGCCTGGTCTGTGGGATCTTTTCATCGGAGGTGCCCCAGGTCTTTATGAGTCCTCCTTTGAGAATCCAAAACACATGTTTTGCCACTGATTTGTGTGTTTTCTCCAGAGTGCAGGGGCGCAGAGCCTCTAGACTGGGATTTTCCAATCTGTGCTTTGCAGAACTCTAAACTTCCACGATTCCTGGAGAGACTTAAGTGGAGGAGAAAATGTTCACTTGAACATCACCAATTTTCTGACAAAGCTGTAGCTTTTTAAAAAAAAAAAACGGAAGCTGTAACAACAACAGAAAGGATAGCTCTAATTTTGCCTCTTGAGCAGGGTTCTGCAGCCTGAAAAGAATGGGAAAATCCTGTTCTAGACATGGCTAAATGATAACTTCTAGTGCTTCTGTTCAGTATGGCCAAAAATGAGGTTGCTGAGTGTTAAAAAAACAACAGTCATGGGAAACCCCTGTTTTTCTTCCCCCTGTATAGTGCAAAGGCAGCTTTGTGATTCCTCCTGTTTATTCCTGGAACTGCCTTTTTTAATTTTCTGCTTCCAGAGCTGGTTTATATAGTCTGAGATGTTTGTTAAGGTGCCAGAGTTTGCTAGCTTGCTTTTAAGAATTTTGATGTAAGAGAGTCAAGAGATTAAAGCGTTACGTCGTCGCGTGGCTTTGGAGAACAGACAGGCAAAACCGGGAGTTCACAAGGGAGAGATGGACCACCGTCGTGTTTGCAAAACATGTGCTATGAAGACTGGCGTTGCGGGCAAAAATATTGTAAAATTTCACTGCACCCTGAGACTTGGAGGGTGTCCAAGTGGTGAGGAAACGTCTCACTTACTTTGCAGTTTCTGCTTTTACCTGTGAAGGAGCGGAGGTTGCTTTTAAAGGCTCTTTTCATTCTCATTTGTGGTCTGCGTGGGTGGGAGGTTTGAACACCAAAATGGTTGTTTAGCTGTTTTCTTTTTTCCCCTCCCCTCCCTTGGTTTCCACCGCTGCTCCATAAAACTCTGTTGTTCCAAGGGACGTTGTTGTGTCCTTTAGAATGCATCTAATCTATTGTAAGGACGTGTTTGAGATACTATGGTGAGTGTGCGACCCATAGTTACAGTGACCCTCCGCCCTTTCTTATAAAGAACAGTCCTTTATTTCAGAAAGCTGTCCTTTAAGATTGATTTAATTTAATTCTTTATTTTCCTGGTTTTGCTCTTGAATTTCCCTTTGTAAAGCAAAGTTGCAAACGTAAACAGTTCTGTTTTTTTTAATCCTTATGAACCTCTTTCAGATTTGCCCCCTTTTCAGGTTTATCCTTTACTCTTTCCAAGAAAATAGGGTCACTGTACCCATAGTCAATATAGGGAGGGACCCAAACCTAAGGAGCCCTTGCTTTGCATGATTCTATTCAGTCTTGGGTATCCTTTTGCTGGAATCTTGGAGAGCCACCATCAGTGGCGACTAAGCTATCATTCGGTTTGTTTTTAGCTTGGCAGTTGTGTTCAGAAAAACACACTTCCTTAAGTGAATTTCAACCGGAGTGACTGCATTGGTACAAGTGCCAAAGCTGGTTAGTTGCCCTTGGACTAGTTTGATAGGTTGAGTAAAGGCCGTTGACGTTGGTGGGAGGGGAGTGAAATGGCCCATCCTAGAACAGGATGGTTGTCCACAGTTGGATGGATCACTTCTAGACTTCTTTCGAGCTAGAACAGCCTGTTTGGAACCATTTCTGATGATACGTTTTGTGCTATTTGGAAGTGGAGTGGTTGATTGAATGGGTTAATTCCAAACTCAGCGAAGCCTGTAATGTGGGTTCATTCAGAAAATGGGTTAATTCCATAACCAAACTAAGCAGTCACGTGAACACATAGTGCGTGTCTTGTGTGAACTCAGCCGTTGTAGATTAATTGACTGACTATGGTTAAAGAAACCATGGCTTCACCCAACACATAAAGTATCAGTAGCAGCAGTGCTAACCTAGATGTAATGGGATGTGAGAATAACCTTGAGGAACAGGAAAGAGAGCTGCAATTAAAACAGTGGTCAGATAAGAGAAATCTGAGTCTGGAGCAGAAATGTAATTTGAGGAAGCACCTCAGACTTGACCCTCCCTAGTTCTCTTGTAAAGACAGGGAGGGGTGACTCTTTAGACTTGCAAGAATCTTTTACTGTAACCCTGTAATAACAGTAGGTTTAGTATTCATAACTTTGGTTTCTTAGTCTGGTCTACCTCAAAGGGCTAACACTAGATGAATCACAGACCATCTCACTTTGTAACAGTTGTTTGTTCCTATCCAAGATTGAAATCTGACCTATGGAGCTACTGGAAACTTGAGTTCAGGTTACAGACTTTTCTGCAGGATGAACGATCAGACAGTTGATTATTCTGGTTGGTAGAAGTAGTGTGAGACACCTAGATGGGTCAAGGCAAATCTGAGTGCCTGAAATTGCACACACCTATTCTTAAAGGTAGATTCTTGTACAAGTACTTGACATCGGAGCTGGCTCAAATTCCTGCAGATACCGTCTTGAGATCTAACCCAGCTTTCTGCTGTCTCTTGCATATAATGCTGGTTTAAAATAAGACGTCTTGGGTTCTTTACTTGCCTGATGCCAGCTTGTTTTTCCTTCTCATGCTGTGATTGTGAAGATCTGTCCTTTTAGCTGTTCCATCTGTGTCCTTGCAGTGAGAAGGCGACAAGAGGCATTTTTTCCCCATGCCCAGCAAGCCCACTTGGGGGTGGAATTCAGTGGAACAGATGCAACAGTGGCCACTTTCAAAGCAGGATGAGACAGTTTCATGGAATGTGAGTCTGTAGCCAAGCTAGTTAGAAGGTGCCTGTTTTCCAAGATAGTTGGCTATGGAATAACAATAACTGGGGAAGGTGAACACAGTAGGCACAGCTGCTGCCTTATATACCTTGCATTTTGGCATCTGATTGACTTGTAGAAATCAGGACAACTCACCTCCTATAAATAATTGGGCCAAGACGTGTGTAGAGGAGAAAAACAGAATCATTGGGGGGGGGGGTTCCCCTGATTTTTGGGGAAGATATTTTCCTCTGAGTTTTCATATCTCTAGACTGCCCTTTATTATTTGACCCACAAGGTTCTTCTTTTGGTCGTGCATGTTCCTTGGTGAGTTGGCTCACAATTACAAAAACTCTCCTGCTCCCTAGAGGTTCATCCCAAACATTTCTCAGAAATCGCCAAAATTTCTTGGGTCAGTTAGGCTATTTTTGCACGTGGGCTTCATGTTAAGTACAAGAGTTGCCGGGGTGCAGGGGGAATCCATGAACGGGCCAGCCTTCCTCCATCCCTTAACTTTGTGGTTTTAAGGAAAAATTGAAGGAAGGACAATTGTTGCAGAGGCTTTACTTTTCATTGGAGGCTGGATGAGTTGGAAACGGCCCCTCTACTAGCCAACTGGGAGAGCAGAGGAAGCCAGTGAAAAACCATGGGTGGATAACCACATGTTGCTATGTGCACTGGGTTAGCCAACAAACACGATACGGTGACTAATGCAGAACTGGCAACACAAACATTCTTCCAGGTTGAGACTCCCACTTCCTCCCTGCCCTAACCAACGTGGCCAGGAGCAAGGGATAGCAGGAGCTGTCATTCACAAAAGATGGAGACCATCTCCTTCAGAGGGAACAGAACTACCCCACATGTGATGTTGAAGGTCCCTTCCAGGGATGAAGTGGGAGAGGGGCCTGGAAGACCCATGATTTTCTCTCTGATTGTACCATTCTTCAGGAACTGCCTGACATGAGAGATTTGGGGTTGTTTCTCTGCTGGTGTTTAAGAAGATGGTCAAGGTAGAGCTTTTCCATGGAGGTCTTCATCTCCCATTGGGTGGACGTTGGACCTCTGAAGATTTTATTAGTGTTGTCTTGGTTATGTATGTGCTCCATTGATTTTATCTGATTATACTGTAAATAGCTGGCCGTCCTTCTGGAAGCCAGCGGTAGATATTTTTAAGAAGTTAAAAGAATTAAAAAGGAAGGGAGGACAACAGGTAGGAATCTTCTCAGAAGTCAGGAGTATATAAAAACCTTTCAAGAAATAGTTGAGTTAGGGTTAAGTTAGTTTTAATGAAGCTTTGGGTCATTTAACACGCTTGGGTCATCGCAGCGTGGGACTGAAGGCTAGATGGGTTGTTTGTGGCTTAGCATTGTTAAAACCCAGCCATTATTTTAGCCAATAGTGTGATCTGGGTCTATTCCTTAAGCCACAGTAGGTAGGTAGGTAGGTAGGATGGCTGTTTTGTGGATCTCCAGTTATGTGGGTTTAGGATAGAATGTGTTACGTGAATGCAGGTGGTTTTCAGTATCCCTCTAGGGCAGTGGTTCTCAACCTTGGCGAGTTGAAGGTGTGTGGACTTCAACTCGCCAAGGTTGAGAAACACTGTTCTAGGGACATTTGCACTTGTAGACCAAGGCAAATAACCCCACCTCTGCTTCCTTCAACCAACTGGCAAATAGGGAGAGCAGGAGAGGCCCCCCCACTGGTGTTTGACTCATTTTAGGCTTGAGGAAAACCCGCATTCGTGGTTTGAACAGAAGGCTGTTTTGACCCAGGACAAAAATGTGTCTGTGTGTTTCCTTTTGGCCCCGAAGGTTTAAAACACCACAGGCACAAACATCAGCCACGACTCAGAGGGCCTGGTTGTTCTGCCGTTGGGAACCGTGCATACAAACACACACACCCACGTGTGCGCGTGTGTATGTGCACGCCCCCCTCCCTGGGAGGACTGCATAACCCCTCACGAGGCCTCAAAAGTCAGCGGCCAGCAGCAGGAGAGAATTGGGCTACGGGGTTAAGGTTGGCATCCGTCGAGATGAATCACGCCAAGGCTGCAGCCAACGCAGAAGGTCCCCGGTGACGAGCGTGGTGGTTTTATAGCTCATGACTCATCTCGGCTCGTCGACGGAGAGCAGCCGTGTTATTCCAGGCGATTGCAAAATCATAACAGGAATGTCGTGGCGAGTCTACGGCTCAGCTATGCAAATCCCCAGGAAGCCATTTGAGCCGGAGAGCGTGAAGCACGCCGCACGGGGATGGCCGCGCGATGAGGAGGCCTCGGGGACGGCAGGCAGAAGAGATGCTGGTGGTGTTGAACTCCTTGGGAGAGCAGGCCTGGGAGGTGAGCAGGTCCCGAGAGCGAAAGGCCAACCTTTGGCCGGGAAAATCCCCCCGCCCCACCTGCTTTTCGCTAAAGGGCCGTCTCTCTCCGGTCCTTTTCTGCTCCGAGGAAGAGGGCCTCTTCCAGGGACCGTCGGACACCCACGTTGGGAAAGGGGGAGCTTCTGGGGATGCGTCCGGGACCGTCTCTGAACAACGTGAAAAGTCCTCTCTCTCGTCCCCCATTCGTCAGTAGTTTCCTTGAACTAAACAGGATGGGGGTAGGTAAATGCAACCCCTCCCCGCTCTTGGACGGCAAGCAGGGAGCAAGAAGAGCTTGGGAGAGCAGGCCTGGGAGGTGAGCAGGTCCCGAGAGCGAAAGGCCAACCTTTGGCTGGGAAAATCCCCCCGCCCCACCTGCTTTTCGCTAAAGGGCCGTCTCTCTCCGGTCCTTTTCTGCTCCGCGGAAGAGGGCCTCTTCCAGGGACCGTCGGACACCCACGTTGGGAAAGGGGGAGCTTCTGGGGATGCGTCCGGGACCGTCTCTGAACGCACGGGAGAAGAACAACGTGAAAAGTCCTCTCTCTCGTCCCCCATTCGTCAGTAGTTTCCTTGAACTAAACAGGAGGGGGGGATGTAAATGCAACCCCTCCCCGCTCTTGGACGGCAAGCAGGGAGCAAGAAGAGCCTTGCTCCTTGTACGCGCGAAGTGTGTCAGGAAGGGGAGCCAAGAACAGGTCCCGAGAAGGGGAAACACGGCAGGCCCCGGAGAGGCACGGTCTGGGAGCGCCGGCCAACGCTGCAACGGCTGCCCGCCGTTTCCAGCAGCCCGCGTGCTGTTGGGCAGATAAGCTATCTTGCTGGGCTGGTGTTTCCCTGGTGATCGGTGGGCGTGCGGTGCACTGGTGTGGGCTTGCACCGTGGCGTAGGTGGGGGAACTCTTCTGGGACGCCGGATTCCCTCGGCGGGGGGAGCGGAGGAGCTGCGCCGTACGGGATGCAACTGGAAATCAGAGCAAAGGTCGGGCGCTGTTTATAATTCGTGTGTGGAGGAGGAGGATGGTGCCAGCAGCCGCCAGGCGTCCCGAGCCCTGGGAGGACTGTCAGGCTGGCGGGGCCCCCGGCTCCTGACCAGCGAGGCGAGAACGGGGAATACGCCGGCAGGCTTTTTGCAACCCTGCAGAGCGATTTAGGCAGGAGGGGAAAGGCGTGACGAGATAGTGCCGGAGAGGAATGCGCGCTCCGTTCTGAGTGGGTGGGGGAGACGGGGCCAAACAGCAGATTCTCTTCTGCAAGAGACCAGCACGACGGGTCCAGCGGGGCGCCCGGAGGCCACCCAGACGACCCCCTGCGTGGCGCAGAAATCCAGCCAAGGGCTGGGACTCTTTTCCAAGGGGAAAAGCTTGCCAATGCTCTGTGCGGATTTGGAGGAGGGCCATCCTGCGGGATGCCTGACTCATTTAGGCAGAAGTTCACCAGGCTTGTGTTTGTCCAAGAGATGTGTCACAGGGGCTTTGGAACGGCCTGCTCCCAGCCTGCCAAGCTCAACCCTCCCTCCCCCCCCCCCCCCGAATTCTCAGGGTGTTAGAGAAACAAAAGCTGGTCCTCGCGTGACTGTGGAGAGCAGGGGGAAGTCCTCCTCCTACCGCGGCAGCACACTGGCCTACCTCACAGGGGTGTTATGGGGATGATGTTACAGGAAGGAGCGTTCTGGATCCCTGGAAGACAGGCTGGGTGTAAAGCCCAATTAATCATGCAGTCTAGCCCTATATGTGCAGATAATAATTTGCACGGTGCCTTTGGCCACAATCCCCAAACTGAGGTTGAAATCAAAGCGCGTTAACCCTTTATCCATTACACCAACAGCATTGATATGGGGCTGGATCTGCATTTATTTGTAGTTTGATCAGTTGGATCAAGATCGTGCCTCGATTGGCACAACGCCAGGCAGTGAATGGAATGCCCCCTCCTCTTGTTTCTTCCCTAACAACGACCCTGCAAGTTCAGTTGGGCCAAAAGGGGCTGGTTCAAAGTCATCCAGCCGGCTGGCATATGTGCCTTGGTGCGTGGCAGGGACTCGTGCGCAAGGGGCACTAAAAGCGATGGTTTCTCGCAGAGAGTGCTGTTTTTGCTGAAGCAGATCCAGAAGCGATGCAGACAGGCCCATGGTCGGCACAGCTTGACTTGGGTGGTCAAAAAAGTCAAGATGGTGGCTGCCTGTTTTTTATGGCCATCTCCTGGCCCCTTTGTAACGGTGGCCAACCGGTTTAGTCACCCGGACTGAAAACTTGCCAGCGTGCCCCCCCTTTTTAGGAAAAGGCTTGGCTGTAGCCGGGCGATGCCAGCTCGGTCCCTTTCTCAGAGATTTTTCGTTGCAGGCTTTTTTTCTTTGCTGGCCTCTGTTTTGCAGCCGGTGTGGAGACTGGACTTCTAGGAGGCGTGTTTGCGTGTGTAAGTGTGCATCGGGCGTGGGGCTACGAGAAAGTAGAAGAAGCCTCGTGCCTGCGCTAAAACTGGCAAAGCGCAGAGCTTCCTAAAATTCTGTAGGGATAAAAGGGAGAAAGGAGAACCACGAAAGTTTGTATTCATGTCCTGGAGGACAGGTGGAATAGAAATTTAATAAGCAAGATTCAGAAGAGGGGCAAATTCACGCCCGCTTTTACACTTATGCCCCGAGGCTTTTGAATTGTCGCTTTCTATCCCTCCTGAATCCTCCTTACCCCCTTACCAGATTTTTTTTTTAACCTGAAAGGAGGTGGGTTTGTTTCGTAACCCCAGGGAATCGGGGTTTAAAAAAGCACCCTCTTTCCTTTCTCTGCAAATGGTCCTCCTTTTCCTCCTTATGGCCCAGGAGCGAAGGATGCCCTGAACGGTATCCTTTTCATTGGTAAGCTGTCGCAAGTCTGCTTAAGGATGGGCAGGATGCCCATACTTAAAACCAAGTCAAAAGGCGCGACGACGGATAAAACGGGGTGATCCGATGAAATCCGGACACGAAGGCGCGCTGATGCTTTTCTCGAAAAATGTCCGATTTTTTTCTCCTCTGAGCAGGGGGAAAAACAACAACGCGGCGTTCTGGCTTGGCTTGAAAGTCACGGCTCCGATGTTTTAGTCTCCTCCGGGCGCTCAACTTCCATATTTTTGATTCTCCTTCCCACCTTGCAGCAGCAGCAGCAGCAGCAGCAGCAGCAGCAGCAGCAAATGCCCCGGAATAATCAAGAAGAAAAAGAAGAAAAAGAGAAGGATGGGGAGAAGGAAGAGGAGAAACCAGAATCTGAAAATGACAAAGAGGAACTGACAAAGTAAGTTGGATGGGGTTTGCTTTCCAGGAACCAAGGTGGATCTCGCGCTGCATCTGTTTCTCGTCTCGGTCTTTGTGACCCACCTTGTTTCCTTCTCCAGAAGTTTGCTGCAGAACGCAGCTGGATCTCCCCCACTGCCTTCCCATCATGCAATTGGCTTGGGTGCCATTTGGGGCAAGGCAGGGAGATGGATCTTCCAAGTAAAACCATAAAACGCTACATTTGCTGGGTATGTTCCTCATTTCCCTTTCTGACAAGGATGAAAGAGGATGTTGATGGCTTTCTTTTCTTCTTAAACTCGAGGGAGCTTGGGTTGAAACGAGCGTTTCTCGTCTACCAGGGTTGGGCTTGCTGCAGTTTTGTGCTGTGGAGCTCCTGCCGAGAGAATATTTTTCCTCCCCAAACCTTTGCTATTTTACCCTTCCGATGCAGTAAATGCCACGGAGGTTTCGTAGCTTCACGACCGACAAGAGCGGGACTCGTATATGTGGAACCCTCTGCCCCAAAATCTGGCAGATGGACTTGAATTTGGCTTCTGCGAGGGAGGACTTTATCAACGGCCCTCGCCGCCTCGCAGCTCTGCAGAGGGTGGGGATTTCCATTCCCAGAGTTGTTCGTCAAGATCACGCTGGCTGGGGAATTCTGGGAAAGGAAGTCAGCCGATCTGGAAGGTGAGGAAGGTCATCCTAGAGGACAAGGTTGATGGAGCCTCCGCGTTTAGAGGTGGCACTCGGTGAATGTCCTAGTTGGGGATTTCACACAATGTTGCTTTGGGAAGGCCCTTCAGGAGCACCATCTAGGGAAATAGCTTTACCTTTTTTAATTAAAGCTGCTCGGGACAAATTTCTCCTCTGAGATCTCTTGCAGGCCATGTCCGCATCTGGCTGGACGTTCAGTGGAGACCCGCTGGGCTCTGTGGATGGTCTGATTTTGAGTCTGTAGAACTGGGGGCATGTCAGCTGACCCTCCATGAAAAAACTTGCTCCTGGACATTGTGTTGCTCCAAGTGGTGGCCACGGGGCTGATTCTCAAGGTCTTTCTGAAATGCGCTGAAGGAAGTGTGAGAACCCTTCCTGCTTCCAACCAGAGCAGCCGAGTTGAGGCTGGCAGTCGAGGGTTGCAACAAGGACTTGGAAAGGCCGTGCCTCTGAGTTAACAGGGAGGGGAAATGAGCATTTCTAGACTTTGATGGAAGAGTTGGCCGTCTTTCTCTAACAGAGCTTAAGCCTTGGCTGGAAGGAACATTTGGCTCGGTTGCCTTTGTGTTTCTCAGCCAGGTCTCTCCCCCTCCCACTTTTGGGAAACTAGAAAAAGAGAAGCCAGTGCGATTTGGCTGCCGTGATGCTCCACCTGTCTCTGCTGGGTCTCTCCACAGCTGCAACTAAGAAACCACAGCGCCCTGCAGGAAACCCAAGCTGATCATGTCTGCTTCTCTTGTTCCGGTTCCATCAGGGAGAAGAACGAGGATACGTCGGGCGAGGACAATGACGAGAAAGAAGCCGTCGCCTCCAAAGGGCGCAAAACAGCCAATAGCCAGGGCTGGCGCAAAGGGCGCATCACTCGATCTATGGCCAACGAGGCCAACCACGAGGAGGTGGCGGTACCCCAGCAGAATTCGGAGCTAGGTACGTCCCCGTCGTGGCACGGATGAACGGATTCGGGGATTCACGTGGGCAGAACGAAGGTGGGGACCCATCAGAGCAAGGGCTGAAAGAACAAGGCGTGCATGTGTGCGGTTGGGTGTTTGAATTTCTTCTTTTTTAATTACATGGTACTGGAAAAGGACACACACACACACACTGGACCCACCGCACTAAATTTTCCAAGTGGGCGCATAAACAGGGAAAGAACGGAAGCCATTAGAAAATACCGTATTATCGACTCTAATTTTATTCTAACAAGCGACTGGAATTCTCAGCAGAGGTGGTTGTGTTAGTCTTTAACCTCAGCTAGGGAGAAGAATAAACCACAGTGGAGTGGTTGACCTTTTTTTTTTTTTAATTAAATTAAAACATTGCTTTCACAACTTACCCTCTTTTGATTTGGAAGATTTTAACCGACAGACAATATAGGTGGGGAAGTCAGAACTGCCCTGAACGGCGCTGGTTTTCTAGGACAACCTGGAAGGGCGTGCTAGGAGACTTGTTTCAAAACACGGGTGGAGCCAGAGTTGAAGAAGTAGGACAGGAGATGACAAATTTTGGACTGAAATTCTTTTCAAAGCCACTTCCTTCTCTGCAGGCTTCTCCGTGGGAAATTGCCTTTCATGGCCACTTGAGGGCTGCGGAGAACTGAGCAATCTTGTCTTGGAAAGAGATGGTGTGTAGCAGAGCTGGGATCTAGACCTAGTTAGGCTTAGCTTGAATGGGAAGAACTGGTAGATGATTAACTAGGGCTTCAGCTGAGGAACTGGTGGAGAGCTGGTTCTACCACTCTGGAGGTGGTTACCTACTCATCTGGTGTTTGTGGTTTGATTCTGTTCATGTCCTCTGGGTCTTGTTTGATTTCCAAAGATACGACGATCAGAATAGACGGTTAACGGTAGCAGCTTCTCGCCTTGTTAAAGTGCGAGATGATTTTAATACTTTTGGGTGACTTGGTGGTGTTCTGAGTAAGGTGGAATTGAATGGTTGAACTGCTTGATCCAGTACGTCTGCCTCAAGATAAGAATGAAACCACTCTTTTTTCTTTCTTCTTGTTAAGTGTTTAGGAATCATAACGTGGTGGTGGTGGTGATGATAATGTAGCAAAGGGCCTACAGAGCTAGAGAAGTCAGCTAGAGAGCAATCTTTGGTGTTGGCTTCAAGGTAATAAAAATGCTGCTAAAAGGAAGTTTATCTATAGAGCTTCTGTTTTTTTTACTTCTTGGCAACACTCCTCTTTGTAGAAACATCCTTTCTACAAGCTGCTTCCAGGTTTCCAGCTGAATGAGTGAATCAAGGCCCGAGATGGGAAACCAGATTGTTTCCCAACTCCAGATTTAAGCTTGAAGATAATCTATTCGTAGCGGTACGGTGAGGGCACTTACGCCGTATCCAAAGCAACGTCGCCCTTTTCAGATCCAAACCCTCTACGGCTCCAGGACTTAGGCGCTCCTCCCCTTGAAAATTAATTATTTATTTTAGTATTTACCCTTGTGTGGTTTTCAGACTTGGCTACTACAACGCATTCCACTTGGGGTGTCCCTTGAAGACAGCTTCGTGCGTTAGTGCAGAAGGGAGAGAACATCTCCATTTCAGTGGGGGGCATTGCAGACACTCAGTGGGTCTTTGTGGGTGCCCTTTCTGCTCATGTTCTAGTTCCAAGGCGCTGATAATCCCCCCACAATCCTTTGCAGAAGCTTTGGGGCTGAGACTATGGAACCAAACTCTCCCCTCTTTTCAGTGCCTCCCGGATGTTTGCAGCCTACTGAAAATTGTCATCCGCCAACCATAGCTGGCTGGGGAATTCTGGGAGTTGAAGTCCATACATCTTCAAGCTGCCAAGGTTGAGAAACACTGGTTTAGGGGCTATCGTTCATGGAACAGAAATCTCCTTCGTGACCAGGAGATGTGTGTATGTGCCTGGCTGTGTGTGCATGAGTGTGTTCCTGGACTCGGGTTTTTCTCTCGTAGGCACCCGGGGTTAGCAAACAGGGACACGTGCGAGCAGTTTCAGGTTCAGAGTTTTGAATTTTACATTCTGGCAGGAGGTTCTGTTCCGTCTTTGCCTTCCCCATCCGGTTTTCAGCATCCGCTCGAGCCAAGGAGTCGGGTTAGCCCCAAGCAAAAAATTGTGAAAACAGCAGGTGCTTGTGGAAGGGAGAAACGTGACCACCTTCCCCAGCCATGCACCTTCGGGGTGTGCTGATCCCAGCTCCCATCGTCCCCTGCCAAAATGCCCCTTGCTGTTCAGGCTGGAAGGCTGAGTTGAGAAGTAAAATCGTGCAATAAAATGTTTTGGAAAGGGAACCTCATTTAAGCCAGTGAACCCCATTTTGGGTGGTAGCCTGATGAAAAACAAGCCCCCTGGGTTGGGTCACGCCACACACGGGGCTAAGGTGGTTTCTGGTTGCATGTCATGTGATCACAGCTGCCCAAAGACACACACAGACACACACACACACAGCCATGGCCCTCCAAGAACTGGAAGAGGAGCAGAATAAAGGCATTCAGGCCAAACCCAGACCCACCACCTTCTCTTCTCCATCATTCTCCCAAACTTACCTTGGGGCTGCTCCGATCCTTCAGACATCCTGACTCCCGTTGTTCCATTCCTGGTTTGGAGAAAGCCACATTCAATGGGAAGGACGATTTGTCACCCTTCCATGTTTTTTTCGGATGCTGGATCTGTAAATACTTGGCCGGGAGATTGGCGAATTCTGCTTCCCAGCCCCGAAGGGACTTACGCACTCTCCTGGCCCCGCTCCAGCTCCGCGGAAACTCACTTTCGGCTACGGAAGCCCCCCCAGAGGGAGCGCCCAACCCACGGCCTCCAGCTAGATTTCCCTTCCAAGCCTCTTCCCATGGCTGTGTCCCCCCGCCGCCCCCATGCAAACAGGAGGACAGCTGGAAAGATGATGGGGACAGGTTGTAGAATCTGGAAACCGGACCTGGAATATATTTTCTTACGCCCACCTCTGTCCAGCAGCAAGCAGCCCTGTTGTTTTGACAACTTTTCTTTTGTATCTGAAATCCTTGTTTTGCTGGAGATGGATGTCAAGGCCACCTTGGGTAACGCAGATGGTGGCTCTCTTAGCTGTAGACCCCCCGCAGAAAGGAGGGGACGAAAAACAGGACTGCAGGTTGAGAAGGCTGCAACCGTCAAGGCTTAGGAAGGCCATTGCAAATTGCACGCTTTTTGCGTGCGGACACATGCACACACACGTCTCCGAGAACTCTGTTTTTTTCTTCTTGTAATCTTTGCTTTTCTCTTCCTTTCTTTCCACCAGCTTCTTTGGAGATGAACGAAAGTTCTCGCTGGACGGAGGAGGAAATGGAAACGGCTAAGAAAGGTGACGTCCTGGTTTTCTCTTTTCATGTCGCCCGTTTCGAGTGAGCGCGTTCGGTGCTTGGAGGGTCCGTTGCTCGGTGGGCCACCACGGGATGGAAGGGGTTTGGCACGGCTGATGGAAGCATCCCGTCTCAGCTCACGCCGCTTCCAGTTGTGAGCGGTCGTCTGTGAGGCCCAATAGCGTATTTTGCACTGCGCAAATGCAGGAAGTTGCAAATCCTGCAAGGAGGCAGGAAGAGCTGCCGTTGTGTGTGAGGATGTGGCCCAGCTTAGGAGAAGTCTAGCAGTCTGTGTCGTGCATTTGGGGCAAAAACAGGGAAGAAACGGTGCCCAGGGTGGGAGGTGGGTGTCTGAATAAGGCTTTAGTTTAGCCCCCACGTCGTGTTTTGCAGCGGGGCGGCTCAGGGTGACTCTGATGGCAGAGAAATTGCTCGGCTCGTGGCCGGCGGCGTCGGTGTGTAGTCCCTTGCGAGAAGTGAGTAGTTGTGGAATCCCTGGCTATGACCAGGAGGTTGAAGCAAAGGAGGAGAGATTATGTATCGCTGGCGAGACAAAAGAAGGGCGCGCCCTGTAATTAACGCCGAAGCAAGGAGAGACAAGGCAAGCGCAAGGAAAGTTCTTGCACAGTGACAGTTTTATCGTGAAACCCTCGATCCAACAGGCCGTCGACACATTCAGCAGGGGCTGTAATGATGGGCTGGGGTCCTGTTCTCGGAGGTCTTCTTCCTTCTCGTTTTTCAAAGCAGCCTCCCAGTTGCAGGAAGCCAACCAAATGGCTGGCCCCGAAGGAGAATGGGATTCATTGGAGAGTTGGCGTACCTTGGCAGCTATTTAAGGCAGTTCTTCTGTAAGCTGGGCACTCTCCAACCGGGGAGGAACTTCATCTCCCAGCATGCACCAGGCTGCTTAGAGTTCTGGGAGTTGCCTTTGTCAGATCTGGATGATGTCCAGATAGGAGGGTCATCTCCCACACTATGGCTTCCTGGGTTGCATCTGGAGCTCCAGGTCTCCTCGGGTTCCCGTAGGTCTTTGTTCACGGCCACCCCATCGATCATCCTCCAGCTGTTGCTAGAATGACTGAGTGTCCTACCAGCAATGTGTAGAAGTGACTACATGGCTGTTCTCCATGTTGGAGATCCAGGAATGACTTGGCTCGCGACTTGATGGGACTGGCACTCTGCCCTCCCACCCAGCATTTTTCTCACCCTTGCCATTTAGAAGGCATTTCTGTAGCAACCTGAGTAATGCCTTGGAGGTGTGGGAGCAAGGGTTGAGCGCTGCTCTCAGTGCCTCACCTACCGTGTTGCTCTTCCACCTGCACGCTTGGCTGTCTGACGTGACAAGTTTTATGGAACTGAGCCGGGCTGTTTACATTCCGTTGGAGAAGAACACAAGTGCTTACTAAGCATTGGAAGCAGGAATGAGAAGGCCTGGTGGTTTGTAATGAATGCAATTCTATTTTCTCCATCCCATTTCATCATGCCACTGGCTGTTATATTTTGGATGGAGCAGAGAGGATGGAGCTGAGCTGTAACTTGGTGTCTCCTCTCTGCATTGGCAGAGTGCCAGGGGGAAAGCTGAGCCAAGGCTCTAGTGCTTCAGATTATAAATAAGGACTCACATCAACCAGATGTTTGTGGGAGTTGAAGTCCATCAAAGCTGAAAGGAGCAACATTAGGAGAGATGAGCTTATATGATGGAATGTTCTTTAGCTAGACATTCCCCCCTCCCCACAAACAGAGAAAATGAACAGATTCGTTGCTACAAAACTGAGCAATAAGTCCAATGTCACATCTGCATTCCCTTGTGGTCAATGGGACATTTGCATGCTACAAATCAGCTGCTCCAAAAACTCCAGAATTGGGATGAAAAAGAAGTTGCTTTACTTCTCTGCAACATTCTCTCTCTCTTTTTTTTTTTAGACCTGGCTCCTCATGAAAAGAAGCCCTCTCAATTCAGGGAGGTGTCCTGGTGTGGTGGGGGTCATCTCCTTAAGCATCATCACCTTCCCCTTTTGAGATTCAAATTGTTTTCCATGTGCTCTGCAAAACTCATGTTCTCACACAGTTGAACAGAACGTCCTGGGGAAGCATTCCTGGAATCTGGAAATCTGGGATTTGGTTGGTGGACCGTTGGCCAGGACACCTGAGCGATCTGGAGTTCATGGGAGAAACAGATCCTGTTTTGAAATCTCTGTGGTTCTCTGGGCACATTCTTCTCCGGATCCCCTTCCATGGGCTTGTTATGGAATGCAAATTCTGGAGAATTTTGTGATGGGCATTTTCCTTTCTAGGGAACCTTAAAAACTCCTTTGGGTCTCTGCTTCTGCCTTCAGGGCCTGGATTTAAAATACCACTCTTTGGGATAGTACTTGACCTTACCAGCATTTGAAGGAACTCCCTTGGGGTGTTTTTATTACAGTGTGCGCCTTGTTTCCTTTTTCCTGTCGGCTGTTTTATTTTGATCTGTGGTTGTTAGCTGTTGTTGGTATATCCTCTGATGGCAGGCTAGAATGCAAAAAAAAGTTTTCGATGAATGCATGCTCTCTTAGCTTGGATTTTTTTCTTTTTTTAAGGATGCTGCCTTTTAAAAAAAAATCAGTTTGGTGTGCGGTCAGTACGTTGGGGAGTTGTGCGTTGAGGAGAGTGTGTTGAGCGCGTTGAGGAGTAAATCCTTTTATGTTCTCTGGCGTTTTCTCAATGCAAGGAAATATGTGTTGTTTCAAACAGCAACCAAGTAGGTAGGAACGGTGGGGTCTGTTTGTGTTGACTTCCTCCACTTTTTTGGCTCTTACTCCTGGGTCAACCCATTGAGGGGCGTTCTTGGAGACCGAATCCAATCTGATAACATTTCCCTCCACTCCCCCTCGCAAACTCCCACCTTCCCATAAAACCTGGAGGCCTTGCAGAAGAGAACTCTTTCCAATCTTGGAGAACCTCCATGCTTAATTAATATATTATTGGCGTTAATCGATAAATAAATTTAGCAGAGTGGAGCTTGCTGTTGGAAGTCTTATTCGAGATCTAAATTTCGGCTGGTCTCCAGGCTTCCATCTGCATCCAGATCTTTGCTTGCTGGAATTTAGGAACCTGTTAACTGAAGACTTGATTATTCCCAGACTTACTGTGCTTCTTGGAAATAACGCCAGTCCATGTTTCTACTCCTTAATGACCTTCACAGAGTCGGAGAACGTAAGAGGACCTTGTTCTAGGCTGTTCTATGTTTCCATAAGAATTTAGCCTGGACTAGCTGGTCTTGCTTGGATTAAGAGGCACTTTAGACAAAGATGCCCCAGCTCTTTTAGCCCCCTCTCCCAGCCCCTCAATCTCCAGTAGCTGACTGAAAGTGTCTAATCGAGGCTCATACATGTATGCAAATGAATTTAATTTGCATAATTTATACCAGCTGCAGAATTCAGATTCCCCCCCCCTTACTTGCCGCCTCCTCTTCCTTCTTTGATTTTTTTTTTTTTGGCTCGCAGGCTTTTTGAAGGTTGGTGGCCCAGCCTAATCCAGAACATCGGGTCCTGCCGACCTTTTGAAGTTTGGGGCTGACCCCTGGGTGGGCTGTGCAGGTGCTGTGGGTTGAGGAGAAGGGGGACATGTTCCTGGAGGAAGCTGGGGAGGGGAGAAGATGCTCCGTCCCACCAAAGCTGTAGGTGCCCCTTTAGGCGGGCGAGTGAGTCGGTGGCCAGAGCTAAGATTCGGACAGGTGATTTCACACTCTGACGCATTTGGGGGGCAGGAAAGATGCAGCTTCGTGCATGGGGGGGAGCGTGCCTCTCTCAACTTCCTGCATTTGGAGGGGTCTTTGACTCTCCCCCATGAACGGGGCTCTCCGTCCACTCGTTCCTGGGGAGGGGGTCCCCTTTCTACCCACCTCCTTCCACTTCCAGCGTCCTGGTGTAGCCCGGCGAAGAAGCCAAAGGGTTTGGGTCCAAATCCACCCTCTGGGGAGGAACCGGGGAACAACAGGAGGGGGGGCCAGTTCGCGGCGGAGCTGCTGCCAAGAACAACCCCTTTGATTCACATCAGAGAGAAGGAAGCTATTAAGAAACGCTTTGTTTTCCTGGATCTCTTTCCCCGGCTGTTGACATTCAGATGAGAGAGAGAGAGAGAGAGAGGGAAGGGGGGAGCGCTGCCAAGTTGGCCGCACCCTCGCCGTCTTGGGCCGGTGCCACGCCGCTTGTGGACGCCGTCTAGAGGTCACATTCAGACGAAGCAAACTTCTGGGTCACCCGGGGGCAGGGCGGGCGGGCGGGCGGGGAAGCGGAGGGGGCCAGCTCCCCGCAGCGCGCTCTGCCTCCTCCCTTGCAAGCCAGCCCCCCTCCCTCCCTCCCTCCTCCCCTCCCACTGCGCTCCCGCCGAGGCTG